AAAGCCCCCCCCCCCCACAACCCCTCCTTTTTCTCCCACTCTCCTTCCAGTATCTCCATGTCTGCCTTCCCTCCTCCCACACCCACTAAACCAGAGTCTAGCCAGTGCTGGAGCAGAGGTTGAGGAATGAATCCTTGGCTTGGCTTCACCAGTGGGGCAAACTGCAGCATTTCTGCTGCCAGTTTTTATTTATTTATTTTAGTTTTTCCCACCACATCTCCCCTGTGGCCACTGAGGTGGAAACAGCGAAGGGCGATGAAATGAAACATTTTTCTCTTTTCCTGTTCTCACTTTCCAGTCGCCGTCACACTTCTCTTGGTTCTTTCCATTTCATCCCCTGTCTCTCTTGACTTTTCCCATGATGTGGTGCATGCTCTTATAGGCTCAAAATATCACAAGCACCATCAAACCCATCTGTTCAGTAAAGAGGCACTTACATATGACAAATTACATGATACACTTCAACTGCAGAGCTTCTGCCATAGTAGTAAACAGTGGGGACATTAATAATATGATGGTAAAATAGACACAAAATAAAAAAGATGCCTGACTCACAGGCAAGAGAATGCATCATAGTTATATTATTAACCTTCTATATGTGATTTACTCCTAAATCAGTTCATGCTTACATAAAGATATACATGGATAATATATATCACTGTAAGAGCTCTCCCACATCTGCCTCTGCTGGTGGATTTGTTTGCTTTTTATTAATGGTTGAGCTTTTAGTGTTAAATTCACCTCATTTCATATTAGAACTAATAGCTAAACTACAGTATAAAAATACTGTTGTACACTTGTGAATGATGATAGAAAATGGCCATGTTTACTAAGCATCTATCCATTGCTAATAATAGAGTAAACCCTTCAGTGTTTTATTATATTAAGTGTGGTGAAAAGGTGAATGAGGAACAAACCACCAACAAGGCTGTAGTAATCTCCTTTGGAGCTTTGACTACTTTTATTTGTAAATGTGTTTTCAAGAGCACAAAATTAAAATTGCATATGTATTTTCCTCTCTTTAGACTTCTGTTTGTCCATTTGCATGTATACACTTCACATATTTGTTAGTAATGTCTGGCCACTGGCAAACTACTTGACCTGCATTTTCCAAAAATGTAAAATCATATTAGGTTGCAGATCTGTTGATTGTACAGAGATTATTAATGCCTACACATGAATGCATTTTCATGGCTGTTGGTAGTTGCATCTTCTAGCAAACAGGTGCAAACTGCATCTGGGTCAAATGCTTAGTTTGCATGTACGGCCTAACTGTCACACTACGGTGTGTGTTACTGACTGTTTACTTGTTGCTATGGTGACTGATGTATTCCAGTGTCTTAAAGCAGCTTTCCCTAAAGGCTCATGCTTAAGCCCTAGGATGTCTGCCATTTATAAATCTTAATAAAGCCTTTTCTTTAATCAGTAATAAATTGATACTACAAACATCAAAACTGAATGCCATATTGTTGCGGCACATGCAGTACCTCCCCAGAATGAAAGTCTGGAAGGTCAAGCAGATAAAAATCCACGGTTCTTGAAGTGCATAAATGTCAACATGCTTGTAACAAATGTCAATATGCTCAAATCCTTCTCTCATTACCTTCCCTGATCATTATTATGTAATGCTCAGACTGCTTCTCTGTCTTGTTTGTCTTACACAGGCAGGAATGGACTGGGCTGTGGACTTTGGAAGCTAGTAACAACAATCAGTGAGGACATTCATCTTTAAAGAGCAGATTCTTCATGGATACATATAAATGTGTTTAACAGAAGTATTTTGAGGCATAATATCAATCGATCCTTTTTTTTTTTGTTTATCTTCCACCCACCTTCTGGAGTCTTCCTGACTGCAGCATTGGCCGTGAACCCTGACACCAGCAGGAAACATTGAGTGATTGGTCATTACATCCAAGGGTAACTATACAGTAAGACAAAAAACCCCTAAGGAGCCCTGCTGCAGTTGGTGGTGGCAGGGGCAGTGAGTCAATTGCCTCAGCAACTGCAACAAATGATTAATTATTTGTGCAGTTAACGGCTCAGACCACTTAATCTACGAGGACCAATTTATTACTGGAGGGAATCTGTCCAATATGAAGGACATGTCATTCATGGATCATCTCTTTCTTGGCCTTGCCATAGCCACTTTTGTTGTGGCCACTAAGGAGAGGCCTGATTGCCCCAAGCTCTGTGTATGTGAGATTAGACCCTGGTTTTCTCCTAGCTCTGTGTACATGGAGGCGCAAACAGTTGACTGTAATGACTTGGGGCTCTTTAGCCTGCCAGAAAAATTACCGTTGGGTACACAAGTACTATTGCTACAGACAAACAATGTCGTTAAAATTGACAAACCTTTGGATTACCTGAACAACATCACAGAGATTGATTTATCACAAAACAACTTATCCTTTATTAGCGATGTCCATCTGGGAAATCTTCCTCAGCTGCTGTCACTTCATATGGAGGAGAACTGGATACAAGAGTTGCCTGAACAATGTCTGGCAGAGGTCGCAAATCTACAGGAACTCTACCTGAATCACAACCTCATCTCCTCCATTTCCCCGATGGCTTTCCAGGGTCTCAGCAACCTTCTGCGGCTCCATCTCAATTCCAATAAGCTGAAGGTCATTAAAAAAGAATGGTTTGAACCCATGCCAAATCTGGAAATCCTGATGATTGGTGAAAATCCAGTTCTTTCTATTGATGATATGAACTTTAAACCTCTCAGTAATCTCCGCAGTCTTGTTCTCACCAGAATGAATCTGTCTCAGCTTCCTGATGATGCACTGGCTGGTCTTGACAACTTAGAGAGCATCTCTTTCTATGATAATATTTTCCCCGAGGTGCCTCATTCTGTACTGAGAAATGTAAAAAATCTAAAGTTTTTGGATTTAAATAAAAATCCCATTGCAAGGATACAAAGAGGGGACTTTGTGGATATGCTTCATCTGAAGGAACTAGGGATTAACAGCATGCCAGAGCTAGTTTCCATTGACAGCTTTGCCCTCAATAACCTCCCTGAGCTGACCAAAATAGAAGCCACCAACAATCCTAAACTTTCCTACATCCATCCAAATGCTTTCTACAAACTGCCACGGCTGGAAACTTTAATGCTAAATGGCAATGCACTCAGTGCTCTGCACAAGATCACTGTCGAGTCCCTCCCAAATCTCAGAGAGGTTAGCATGCACAGCAACCCTATCCGCTGTGACTGCGTAGTTCGCTGGATGAACATGAACAAGACCAACATTCGCTTCATGGAGCCTGATTCACTGTATTGTGTGGAGCCTCCAGAGTATGAGGGCCAGCATGTCCGACAGGTGCACTTCAGGGAGATGATGGAGATTTGTCTGCCACTCATCTCTCCCGAAAGCATGCCTGGGCATATTAAAGCACAGAATGGGAGTTCATTGTCACTCCATTGTCGGGCCTTTGCTGAACCAGAGCCAGACATCTATTGGATCACCCCATCTGGTACCAGGGTCCTACCTAATACAGTGTCTGACAAGTTCTATATGCATCCAGAGGGAACTTTTGACATCTATGATATAACAGAAAATGAAGCTGGTCTTTACACGTGTGTTGCTCATAATCTGGTTGGAGCTGATCTTAAGTCTGTTTCAGTAGAGGTGAATGGATATTTTCCCCAACCTACAAATAGGTCTCTTAATGTTGTAGTCAAGTCAGTGGAGACAAACTCCATTGTGGTTTCCTGGAAGGCTGCCCCTGGCACCCAGGCTCCCAACATTCAGTGGTACACCCTATCAGATGCCAGTCACCCCACCATGGTGTTTACTGCCAGGGTTCCCTCTGACATCCAGGTCTACAACCTCACCCATCTCAGCCCTGCCACTCAGTACAAAGTTTGTGTGGATGTCCGCAGCATCCACTACAACCATGACACCAAATGTGTCAATGTCACCACAAAGGGATTGGAGCTGGCAACCATGGACAGAGAAAAATTGGATGCAGCAGTAATCACCACCTTTGGTGTTCTCCTGGTTGTGATTTCAGTGGCCTGCCTACTTATCTATGTGTCTCTGAGGAACCGCCACCTTTATGGGGATATAAGGAAATGCGACTCCATAGCCTCAGTGGAAGTTGCCAGTATGCACTCTCCTTTCTTTACAAAGCTGTGGGTTTCAGGTAAAGGACTGCCAAGTGGAGTGGAAGTAAAAGCCACAGTCATAAATGTATCTGACAATGCCTTTTAAGAAGTATAGCTTTGTAGAGCACCACACACCAACTATACTGAAAGGACAAGGCCATGTGCAGGGGTGGACAAATCTGTAGTCTTGTTTAAAGGCATACTCATTGCTGGTCTCTGACTCAGATACACTTGCAAAACTATTACTGGACTGGGATGGAACTGTGTAAGATAAACTACATGCTCTCCCAGTTTTTAAAACCCTAGCTGAAGTGGTGGCTTTGTAACCATTAAATCAAACTAAGCTAACATCAAAAGGAAGGGGCATTTGCTGCAGAGAGATATATTTCAGTACTATTCATACAGAAATAAAGGCAGAGAAATAAAATGAAGAATGATGATGGTCAAATCTCTTGTAATTGACTGTTAAATATGTTCAGAGTTGTGGAACTGTCTGTGTGGTCCCAAGCAATACCGGCTGTGCTTTGTCAAACATCCATAGACAAGATAGAGATACTGTAATAACATTTGTCTATTATGGGAAGGGAGATTTCGTAGAGTAGACAAATAACAGTGACCACAGTGGTGTAAGACTTTTGATGAAATATACCCCTCTTTTTCTATCAAAAAAGATTTTTGATTTTTCATGGAAATATTGTTACATATTCTATTATGTTGATGTAATGACAAATCCTCTGTATCTAAATGGCTTTTAAATTAAGGCAAGGACCAGACTACTTTTGATTACAATGACACATTAAGCTTAATGAAATTCTGCTACAAAATGGGTATCTAGAGAGGACATTTGCCAAATGGCTGTTTATGCTGTGTAGTTCTCATTGCAACGGTGACTGGGAAAAATGCAGATATGTTAGACTAAAACAAATTTTATGCATTGATTAAAAGTGAGGTGATTGATGTGCTATCGCCTCAAGAAGTGGTCTGTTATGCCATGGTAAGTGCCTACAACAAGAACTACACGAGGTAAACAGAGAAGAAACCGAAGAAACGCATCAGCCACAGCAAAACATGGTCATGTCATCACTGCAGAATCACAAGCTATTCTCTAGTACTTTTAGTGGAAATACTTTATCAGTATTTTTAGCATTACAGTACATATTTTAAGAAAACCTTTTGTTGTTGCTTTGGGTGTAAAGTTAAAAAGCCATTTTTATATTAACTGTATTATATGTGATCAATGGGCACAACAGACTAATTAAGAAAAGTGCTAAAAAAATAAATGTCATTGTTTCTTTTACAAACAGTTGCGTACTTCTTTTGCTCTCTTCTCATATTTGTTATAATCGCCCAGGTTTATTTCACCTCATAATGCATGGTTGTTGCTTTATACTATTTTTCTTTTTTGTCACGATCCAACCATAGGTTAATGTGAAATGTCCAATCAGTTTTATCTGACATTTCAACAGCAAGTATGGGAAAATATTAATGATGAAGTGGTACAGAACAAAAAACTTTTGAGTCAGAACAAAGGGGAAAAGTCAGGAGACTCCAGCCGATATGGTTCAATGGTCGGCCCAACCCTGGGAAAAAGAAAAAAAAAAGCAATAAAAGAACAGAATTCATTAGTTGCCTCATTTAAGAACATGTTCAACCTTCAGCTGGTCCAAATATAGTCACTGTGCTACAGCTACAGCTGCTTGTACTTAGACAGGTACACAGTGTCCCTATGACAGAGAGATAAAGTACAGTATTGAAGAGTAAGGTAGGGTGGGACCAGAGCTAAGTCTAAGCTTTAGGACTCACATTTTATTTCTTACTGAATTATCCAGCATACAGAGCAGTTTGTATGAGAAAGCCAAACAAGATGAATAGTTGTCAGAGGCAGAGTGACATGACGAATTTATCAAACAGGGCCTAAAACCCATACATCAGAGCAGCCTTCAGCACCATGGACAGAGGCTTTTAAATCCAAGCTATCTGTCAAAGACAAAGGGAGTTAAACTATGACACACCGTGCTCCTCAGGTAATGCTCAGGTCAAACAGACTGAATAGAGGCATGAGTATGGATGCACAAACAAGAAGGGCAGAGCTGAGAAAATTTAAAGAACATGTTTAGATACATTCAAATATGAGCTCAAGACCACTGATTGACAAAAAGAGGGTCATTTACAGAGAACAAAAATGTGAACATAGGCAAGCACACACACACACAAGCTCTCACTCAAATGACCTCATACACAGAGGTGTAGCAGTTTCAGTCTGAGTAGTTGGAGAAACACAACATGACAGCCAAAGAAGCCAATAAATGAGTTCCCCAACCAAATGTCATTTGAAATTAAAGCAATTCATTGTATTAGCCATGTTGCTATTTTTCTTTTGCAGCTCATGATTTGATTACATATTTGACTGAATAAATTAAATATTATCTGAAAAATCATCCTGCCTGCAGTCTGTCTGAATCCCATGCATTTCCATGATCTCTTTCTATTCTCTCATATTCTCTCTCTCTCCCCCACTGCCGCTGACACTCTTACTCACATTTAGGAGATGGCTTTTTTTTTTGTCTGAATTTGTACATTCAAAGGAACCCACAATATAGTATATTAGAAAAAAACTCTGGATTCAACTTTAATCCCATATAAAAAGAACCAGTGAGCCGTCTCCATTTAATTCATAGTGAGAAATGGGGAAAAAAAAAATAATTCTTGTTGAATCTTTAAATATCTCAACTATTAAAATCACCTTGTTCTATTCAGAAAAGCCATCTACACTCAGGCAGATATTAAAGCATGCGCTGAGAAGTCTTATAAATAGATGTTTCTACTGGCTACATATTCAATTAAATTTTGTGAGAATCACTGTCAGGCAGCCTGAGATTTGATGGTGCAATTCACTGGTGGGAGGTGCAAGTGCAATAGTCTATAGCCTTTATAGTATTTATTTTATTTTTTAACACAAGACAATCATTAGGTCACTTCTGGCACATATTTTGCCTTTTACATTTCTAGAATAGAAATAAATGTGAAAAAAACAATATAGCAAATATGTGTGCTTGTTCAAATGTTTTAATGTTATTCAATTGATTCAAACTTGTTATTATAGCTGGAACTGCTTTAGTACAGTGACTAATTTCCTAGAGCACACAGGAAGGCACTATTTAAACACAGTGTATTTATTAGTTCTCCAAATAGCTTATATTTATAATGGTTTTACTCAGACTGGTTTAATAAATGTTTTTCCTCTTTTTTAAAGCTACAATTAAATATTTAATTCACCTTCTATATGTGGTGATAAAAAAACTCATATAGCACTGCAAAGGCTGCTTAAAGCAAACAATGTTCAAATGACTGCTGGCACTTTTATATGTCTGAATTATCAGCTTATTAAAATTACAAACGTCCACATAGGTCAGCCTGTGTGGCTACAGGCAGCCACAGTCCAATGAAAAGTGAAATGTCAACATGCATTTACAGTCCTGCCATTTCTTGCTTTTAAGAGGCCATTATAGCCAGCTATTGGAGAAACAACTGAATGGCATATGGATTGCAATATCCAAGCTCTGACTGCTTTGATGACAATAAAACTGGATTTGCCTCTTGATCCCTTTACTAATTAAAGCAACAGTTTTGCCGCAGCAGTGCAAATTATTTGGGTCTTATCACCTTTTAATGTGGTTTACACTGGAGATGATATTAGTGTCAATGACAGGTGAATTTTATATACATGCAATGTAGCATCAGTGAGCTGAAATTTGCCCAGTGTATTGCTATTGTGAACATGCATTTCTGTGTATTTCCTGAAAAGTACAGACAGACTGTCACAGCAGATTTGGTACAGTCAAAAGCCATGTATGTGTGTGTATTTCTGTTCTGGCCTCTTCCTTGTCTCCATTTCCATAACCATCACTTCCAATTTGTCTTAAACGTAGTGCTAAGAAGGATGTACCCCCCTGTACCTGCACTGCACAGTTAGAATTGCACAACAAGCATGCAATTCCATTAACATACAGGGAAAGTGTAAGACCACAACACAGCTGTGATTATTCATTTCCTCTTTGAACAAACCTTGTGTACAGTAGAGATGAGTTGATTTATATTTACATGTTTCCTTTGATTCACAAATGCATGACATCTCTGAAATTCCACAAAAAATAGGAAAGAGGAAAAGAGGAAGCCTATTGATTGAGGCAACCATGTAAATGAGAGCTTTCTCTAAGTAACCCAAAATATTGATAAATACGTGGCTATAAGTCTTGCGTAGGCCACATTGAAAAATCAAGCAGGACTGAATGTGGGAATGATATGACTCTACAGAGAGCTTTTCAGATAATTGGAAGGCCCATTTTCAAACAGATGATTTCAGATGGTTTCCTGGACTCCTAATTGACTGCTGCCTTCTTTTGTCTCATTGCTGTTCCTTCTATGAAGTGAGCATGCAGCCTGTGCCTGGGTCAGACTGATGTACTTACATGCATGTGGTCAGTATACTGTAAATGATAGACTGGGATTAGGGGAAAAAGGGAAAATTCCTAGTAACCAAGCATGTACCTGTAAAGACACACAGGAGCACCCATTTTTTAGATTTTATAAAGCATCATCACCTTTATGGCACAGATGCTTCCATCAGATCCATTAATCATCACTGAAGGTTAAAGCACTGTTGTGAAATGGTGCAGGAGTTGCCCACAGTTATACACACTGTGTAAGAGCCACAATTTTTACTGCAGGCTTATTTGGGTAAGGCATCATTCAGGTCTATGGATGGAAGGTTTAAAACCGAGTGAGGTAATCGCTGTTCATGTTGGCTACACCTGAGCTTTGGGATAAAGCAGAAATACCAGTCTCCACAATGTTTATAATTTTGCCTATGTGACTAATATTTGCAAACGCATGCATAAATGCTAATTTACTCATTGGTAATTACTATATGCACTGGCCAATTTGATAGAGCATCTGTGCCAAGTGTCACAATTTTTTCATACAACCGGGGGAGCATGTGAGAGGAGAAAAATGGAACATGATGGGGAATTTGAAACTATAACCTCAATGCTTAATTTAATCCAACAAAGAGCAGAGCAGCAATTACAGTGCTAAAAATCACATTTTATGAGAGAGAAGAAAAAGAAATTGAGCAATGTGGTTGTAATAACAAGAAAAGGCAACAACAAAATAGTAGAATAATACAGCCAACAGCCACGTGACGGGTTGGGGGGGTTGGCAGCAATGAATAATAAAAGAAATTAAGTTTAATTTAAAAAAATCCCGCTCTAGCAGTGATTGCATACCTTTTTAATGTTTGTGGGCCCCATTCTAAAAACATGCCTTGACTAATCCAAGTCAATCCAATACCTGTTAGCCAATTAAAATGTTATATGTTAATTTTCATCCATCTAGTATCCATTCATCTGCTTGCCCAGAGATGGAGATGGAGGTAAGGCTTGATTTGTTAATCCTGGGTGAAATGATTTTGAATAACAATGTGCTTATATTTGAAGTGAAGGCTGGCATGTCACTATGGTACAAACTGCCCATTTTCACTGCAAGTGCACAATAGTTAAATTAAAGCTGATGAAACACACTGAACACACTAACTATAAAATAAAACCCTTCATAACACATTTAAAAATTAGTGGTTGAAGTGTTTGACCAATTTCCACCAAAGTAAGTGCTCTAAAAACCAGCTTTAAATCATTTGTCTAAAATAAAATAAACAACTGTGTCCAATTTAAGTTTCTGTCTGTGTTTGCAGTTTATGATTAACCTTAGCACACTTGCTACATTAAATGATAAATTCCCATGATAGTGGAGTAATAAAGTCATTTCTTTCTTTGAAATAGAGTTCATGTATGGGATTAATCTTTAAAAGTCTTGGTCAAGATCCAGGTAACTCTAAAAACGACTGTATATTTCCAGGTTTGAGATTAAGGATAAAGATAAGGATAATCACCTTTAAGGACTTGTTACTCCAACAACAGCTCTCTATATATGTACATTTTAAGTCACCTTCAGAGGACTGTAAAATCCAGGCTTGTGTCAGTTCATTAACAGTCCAGTCAAGCCATATCTGAACGAGGCTTTGGAGATCTGGGCAGAGCACCTACCTTTTACTTGCCCCATTTTACCCCTCCTCAATGTGTAACTATATTTTTGTTATTTGAATTCTTTACCTCTTCTTAATCTCAGACAATGCTAAGTGTTGCCATTTGTCTACAATGCATTTTAGCATCAAAGTCCTTCATTAAACTATATAGTGTGTACAAATGCAGCAGGAAAGGGGCCTAAGTTCTAAATAAAATGGCTCCATGTCTCTCATAACACATTATTCTTTGATATAATAATGATAGTATTGTGTTTATAAATATATAGATTTTATTATATTGAGGGTAAGGCTCATGAGGGCCTTTCAGAGAAGGAACACCTGCAGTGCCAGTGATAGCAATCACTGAACATAAAGTGCTGTACAGTACCTCTTCCACATTTGTTTCAATTATTGTTCATGCCTGTGCACACTGACTAATGTATATGACAAGCACATTTGTACATATGGTACTCATCAATTTTGTCCCTTGCTTGGGCCTTAATGCAAATCAAGCTAGAGGAAGGAACTGATGCCTTTGTGCGTGTCTTCACTGTGTCTTTCACATTTGTTTGCACCACTATTTTAAACTTGCTCCCAAAATAAACACACAAATGGCTGAGCTCTACCATCAATCATCCTGCCACTCCCTGATATGTGTGGATGGTAGCTTGGTGTGATTCCATATACTGTGGAGCAGCATGTGGCTCGCAGTAAGGTTATACAAAAACAACTAGATTCCACCAGTTCATTACACGCTTCCCTGGAAACTAGAATAACAACAATCACAGCCCTGTGCTTGATCTTAATTATCTTTTTGATAGATTCCCTTCTCTTTTTAGTAATTCTTCTGTTGATATTTGTGTTTCTTTTCTCTCCAGTGTCTCCCGTTTCCTCTCATCCCCAAAATAAGATAAATCCACCGGTGTAGACTAGATCATGGCAAAACTCAATGACTGTTTACACGAATTATCCATCTAGATTATTTACAATTGAAATAGAGGGAGTGGGGTAGTTTACAGTCTGGCAATGTGCTCTCTTCTATAATGTATGCATTTAGAATGATGTTTCTAGTGACTGAAGGCTGCTCATCTATTAAATAAAAGAAACAGAGTGACCTAATAAATTGTTTCACATTAATGCAGGAATTAGCAGCAGACTGTGGCATACCATCACATTCATTATTGTCCCAATAACGAATTATTCTCTCTTGAGGACATATTAAAACATTTTTCTCTAATTGAACAATGAAAAGCTACACAGTTTTGTGAGGGCCCCCTGTTGAATAGACTGAAATCAGTGAATAAAACTGTGTCAAGAAAGAGGCTAAA